CAAGAGAGAGAGCGAGAGAGAGGTGTGGGGATGGATGTGTAAACAAAGTATATGAAGAATAGGTGAGATGATGCCTTTTTAGAGAGAGAGGTCACTTTCTTTGTTGGAGTTGAGGAGATCAAATGGTTTAGGAGGGGGTGAAAAGGGACTAGGAATAGGATTCAATTGCTTGCATTCGGCTGCTCTCTCTCTCTATCTCTCTCTCCTAATTGTTTCTCTTGCATGATAGGATTTGGTGGGTGGGGGGTGAGAGGAGTCGAACACAAAGAAAACTAGGCATCCATCATCGCATCATCATGGTCACTATCATGATTATGACATTGGGGTGGATCAAATTACATGTTTTCTCTAATTTTTAAACCATTTAAATGCATTAGGAAAAGTAGGATAATGTTTCTTCTTCAAGACTTGTATTGTGTTTTATGACGGTAATGGTAAGAGTCGTGTTAGCTAAATTGGAATCCTATATGATTCCAATTTGTAATTCATTCATGAGACTAAATGTGGATATGACCATGCATCCGATGGAACTATATAAATGGGAAAAGAAGAAAAAGAAGAGCAAGTAGGATAAGATCCAACTAGAGCTTACTAAATAAGCTATTTGAAAACAAGTGAGTACAATGGTCTTTCCATTCCATCACGATGTTCCAAATTAAAATTTCACCATGATAATGCATATATGTACACATACATATATTAAAGAATATTATGATGCATTTGCAGTACCTCCTCCTCATATCTTGCTTGTATTGACAGGAATATTGTGCTATTGATCTTTGAGATCATTTGTGCTGACATCATATAAATGCTCTTTAAGTGAAAGTTGGACCCTTGTCATTATGTTGGTGGCAACCACCACACAAAGAGGGAATCATGAGAAACTATTGAACAGATTGCGAAAATGGTGCATGGGTGAGGAGATTAAAAGAAAAAAAAGGGGGGACAAAGAAGACATGGCCACATCACTGTTGAATGGTGAAATATGAAAGAGTGGTATTCTATATGAATAGCATGGAATGAGGGCATTGGAGATGGCCCCCACAAAGACCAACTCCACATGGGAAGCACCAAACCCATCTCTCCTCATGTTGACTAATAATCTATAGTGCCCCCCCCCCTCCATCCCATTTTGTCCTCAACCAAGACCATCACATTTGCTCTGACCAAGAAGCAAATTTCCAAGGGGGTGCGGACAAACCATGCAATCGACATGTATGCTATAATGCCACTGTGAAAAATAAAGCAGTTGGAAGTCAGCATCTCCGAATCCCAGAGTCTAACCCTTTGATGTCATCCTTTTGGTGGCTCAACTCCATTACCCCCTTCCACCAATCCTGCAATCACAGGTTGTCATGCCATCATGCTCCTATATGTTCTTTGTTGTGCCTCTGCTTGTGCTTCTCCATCAAACCCTATAGCACTCACTCACTCACTCACAATGACACCGCCTGGAGGAAGTGGTTGAGAGTTGACATCCCACATCAAAGTCCACAGTCAATGCACTACTTGATGATCTTGCATGTACTTTTTCCTTTTTCAACAAAACACAATAAACTGGGGAACACTGTTTGCACAAGTTTTTGAGATGCTACATCTAAAAAAAACATTTTGTTTGTAAGTAATAATATTCTCAAATAAATCAAGGTAAGAAAAAAAAAATATATATATATATCAAAATATAATAAAAACAAACAATACTTGTTGCAGCTACTGTCAATAAAATTTCCTGGGATGGTTCAAAAGAAGTGTGATTCCACCCAAGGGGTAAAGTGTAATTTGCCAACAGTTAATTATCACACAACTGACTCACTCTCATCACAATGTAATTAAATACAAACCCCCAAAAGTACCATTCAAAAGAAGAGCCTATAAAGACTCACTTGGAATCCTCACAATCTTCTAGACAAATAGACCACTTTGGACATTTGAACAAGGAGTTTTCTCTTCTCTTACAGTAGGATCCAGATGGTTGTGGGGTAGATGATGCTGCAACATCTCCATAAGAAGCCCCAGATTTTACTTCTCTGTGTCACTGCATTCAGTAGACCAACTTGGCTGCAGTGCTTGCTTGTTCACAACTTCATATCCTATGCCCTTCCAGTTGTCTCTCTTTGATCCCACAAGCAGACCATCCGATGCAAGACCTCCCAGAAATATTTTTGTGGTTGTTGTATGTATTATGCATCACTGACTTCCATCCTGTGCATGTCTTTCTTTGATCCCACAAGCAGACCATCTGATGCAGACAAGCACAGGATGGAAGTCAGTGATGCATGCACATGCATACAACAGCCACATAAATATTTCTTGGAGGTCTTCAACATGTTTGCCTTGTGGTCTCATCAAGACTTCATTCATCACTCTAAGTGGATGGTACAAGATGTCATTCTTCCCCAATTAATTTGGGTCAACTAAGCTGCAGGCTCAAGTTACACATCTTGGTTTCCAGTAGCATGTGAAGAAGCTGGCAGAGGCTACACAATCCTACAGATGACCCTGCAGACCTTGTCCTTGGCCATCAAAATGGAAGGGTCCACCCCTTGCCTTGCCACTGCAATTTTGGAGTGCCACTGGATGCATGGTCCATCCTGCCCATGCAGCCAAACTACTCGGCCAGGAGGACTCTCAGTTCTGCTCGGCCCCCTTCGTCATAAATGAGCTGCATCCCTGAAACACAGAAATCACAGTAGCTGACGGCTTCCTTTTTACCTTTTCCTTGTGCTCTGTTCTGTTGTTCCGGAAAACTTAGTTCGGGCATCACAATTACAATGCTTCCTCGTCAGACATGTCTCGAATCACAATGCATTAACAAAAACAAGATTAAGGTCATGTCGGAACAGCATCACAGTTATCTGCAGTGTCAAAAAGTAACGAAGGGGGATTAGGTGGAAGACCCAACTGCAACCTGCAAGGACTTTTAAAAACTCAACAATGCTGCAGTTGGGGAATTGAATATTGCGGTGGATTCACACAGAGTAGGTACTTGTCCCTACTACCATTGATGCCGTGCCAAGGCCAAGGCCAAGGCAGGAGTCTCTCCATCATATAAGAAATCCTCGAGCTGGCAGAACAAGCGGAGCACAGGAAGTTTTGATGAGATCGGTCCTTTCTCTTTCGAAACTAGGAATGATTCACGGAAACTGGGGATGGGAGAAAACAGGTGCTGACCTTTCTGAAAGGATCGGATGCAAGGCTTTTCTACAAACACCAGACGGATGTGACGATTCAGTTGATATCAGCTATCTCTGCCTCTCCGATGCTTTTGAGGTCAATTCCCCACGCTGTGTTTCGGATGGAACAGTTGCATGTCACGACCATAACCGGCCAGAAGAGACATCGACTTCAATGCGATGTCAACGCTACTGGTATCAGGGACTGGGACCATTAGATTTTTATGGTATCATCTCGTGCAAATATATAAGACTTCGATAGTTAGATATATAAGATTTTTATGATCGGATGATATATAAATAATCTAAATCAGATTTTAACGTATCAGTTAATTTAGCTGATAAAGACTTTGACTGGGATCGAATTCCGTCATAATTATTTATTCTTTATATTATAATAATAATAATAATAATAATAATAATAATAATAATAATAATAATAATAATAATAATAATAATAATAGCTCGTTTACGAATCGATCCCTATAATTTTACAAAAAGAGCCTCGAAACCTTATAAATCAACCTCAGTTGGCGCCCGTCTGGGCTCGATTGCACCCGATCCGGTTCGCTTGGGCTCGTCCGTTCCAGGTTGTTCGTAACGGTCGGTCTCCTGGCTCTAATGGGCTGGCAGCCTGGACCGCTGCGCCCGCTCGCCTGGGCCGGATCAGAGGTGGCTCGATCCGGTATCGACTTGGCTCCAAAACAATTGGAAGAACACAAGCTGCATCGTTTCAAGCTTTCACAAGGCCAATAGCAGATGACGAGAAGGACAGATGCACGGTGACGACCAACAAATTTCTCCAAGCTCGATATGATCTTCTCTTCCCATCTCTTCGTTCCTCCCTTTCGACTAACATTTGTAGAAGAAACCTCCGCAATCGTTGGGATCATGGCAGAGGTTTCAGTCTCGCTTCTCTGTTTCAAGCAAGCCAGTAGATTCACCAGAGGCTGACATGGATCTGTAGCAAACAGATGAGGAGATGAAGACATTACTACTATCCATGGTTCAGGAGTCACAGATCATTCTCATCTTCATGACCGTGATAAGCAGCAGGTAAATTGCAGTGATGTGAAGAAGATTGACTCTCGCAATTGCTGCATCTGTCTGCAGCAGTTTACATTATGTGGCTACAGAATCGCAGTGGAAAGAGCAATAAAATAGAAGGAGAGGCTAAAATACCCGCGCCATTTTATGTTTCTGTTGATCTCCACGACCAAGGTTTCAGCATTGAGAAGAGTCAATGATGGGGAGTCGCATTCGTAGATAAATGCAAGACGGTGGCCCCCTACCGACACAGCAAAGCTCGAGCAGTGTTCTAGGTTGTGCACCATGACCTTCCGATGTGACGACCAAGTCAAGCCACGATTCCTACCAAATTATCCATCTCAATTATATGTCCCATGACTCCCAAATCTTTAGCTTTGGGACCAAGGTGGCTTTAAGACGATGATCAGACGCAAAGAGGTCAGAAATGCTTTATGGTCAGTGTTAATTTGGCTCAAGATCACCACTTTTTACTACGCAAATCATTTCTCACCCACGTCTGTATCACTGAAGACCTCCCAATCAAAAGCATTCAGTAGCTATCAGATGAAGAGAGCGAGCGCTTGACAGAAGTGCACGCAGGATGTCAGTAGCCTTCGTGGACGTCCATGTTGTCTGCTGCAAAAGTGGATAGGATTTGCTTCTCGGGAAGAAGTACTTCGAGGCCATGGCAGGAGATCACAGAGAACAAAAGAAGACGCAGCAGAAAACCGAAACTAGAAAAACTATGGTAACAGCGTAGAATTAGTGTGAGAGATTGCGAAGCCACCAAAGCACGAATGCAGAAGAACAAAGTGAAAAGACACTCTCCGGGGAAATATACATGAAGAAGAGCTGATGAAGTTGCTGCGACAGCAGTCCCATATGAATGAGAAGAAGTATACGGCATTCACACCTGTATGACTCGAGAATTTATTGCTCAAGCTTTGCAAATCCAGATTTTTTTTTTGGTTTCTTCTGTTTTTTGGGCAGCAGAATCGTTTACCCGTCTCTTTTCAGGATCTAAATTTGTTGGAATCCCACAGATACGGACTGGAAATCTTTGCCGCTTATATCCGCAGCTTGCAACTGATGCTGGAGTTGCTGGTTCTGCTGCCAAATACTTAAACCGCTGATGGTGAATTGGCTTCCTCCCTTGATGTCGCCGTAGAAAGGTTGGCTGCTCTGGGCTTGTACCGCTGCCGACGCCGGGAATGCACCGTGAAGGTACTCCGACCATTTGAGGTCCTCGGTCTCGCCTCCGAGCTGGACTTGGACAACTTTGTCGGGCGTCAATTCTGACCAGGGGAAGATACCACTGTCGAAGGAACAGCTGCTCTGCAGCATGAAGCCGCCGCTTTCGTTTACGCTGCTCCCGGGGTTGTTGTTGCAATTGGCGGCGTGCCAATTTGAGATGGTAGAATCTCCAGCACAGCTCGGTGGGGCGATTGCCGAAGTCGAGAGGGACGATACGGCAGCGGATATGGCATTGCAGCTCAACTCAGGTGTCGCGTCGAGCTGCCTTGCGGTCTGGTTGAGCCAGAGGAGTGGATTGGAGCTGAAGGGTAGAGCGGCCGAGGTGGTCAGACTGCTGCTGTAGTCGGGACCAAAGCTTAGCAGCGGAAGAGGGAAACTGCCCATCGGACTGGGAGAACGGCAGGTCGAGGAGTTCTCGTGGTTCGCGAGGAACTGATCCAAAAAGAATTCTTTGGTTGGTGTTGCTGAACTCTTGGAGGTCGTGCTCTCGTCCATCGACTTATCCACCGTCGGGAGCTGATTAGCAATTGCCAATTCGGGAGTGACAGGAAGCTGGAGGCCGCCGGAGCCAGAATTCTTTTCGCTGTTGTCGAGGGCTTTATCGTCGCCGCCGTCCACCTCGGCGAGCGGCTTGTGGGTGTTGGGGTCGATGCCTCTCTGTCTCAGCTTCTTCTTGATGCAGGAGTTCCACAGGTTCTTAATCTCATTGTCTGTCCTTCCCGGCAAATGCGTTGCAATCTTCGACCACCTGATGGTGCCGGCACACGACCAGAAACAGGGAGATAGGTATCAGAGAAGTCAAAGGCTTGGGAGACGGAGAAGACGAGGGGGTGATACCTGTTTCCCAGGACTGCATGTAGTTCGATGATGAGGTCCTCTTCCTGCTTCGAGAATGTACCTCTCTTGAGGTCCGGCCTCAGGTAGTTGATCCACCTCAACCTGCAGCTCTTTCCGCACCTTTGGAGACCTGAAACTTGTCGCAGGAGTCAGGATGATAGACGACGCAGCTGGAAAGCCAAGCAAGCGAAGAACGGTGTACCTGCTTGTTTAGGGACAGAGCTCCAACACCCATGGCCAAATTGCGTAATGTGCTTTATGAGCTTCTCATCTTCCTCGGGAGACCAGAGGCCTTTCCTTAGCTTCTGCTTGTAGCAGCAGGAGTGGCCTCCCATTCTCGGAAACAAACCTTCGGGGAATTGCTGCGTGAATAAGGTCGTTCTAGTGAATTAGGAAGTGGAGAATATGGGCGAAAGGGATAGTGGATGTCAAGGAATCGTAGCTGCAATTGAGGAGGAGGAGTTGGAATTAAGAGGTGGACTGAGCTTAAAAGTGTGTGTGTGAGAGAGAGAAAGGTCACAGTCTGGTGGTTGTAGGAATTGAGTCGGGGATTCTCTCTCTCTCTCTCTCTCTCTCTCTCATCACCTTGGTAGAAGTGA